CTTTAAGTTTTCATTTTAGTGCAAATGTCCATAGAAATGACAAGAATAGTGCTACAAACTCAACAAACCCTTTACCTGGCCCTAGCAACTGAATAATAATTGTGTATCTTTGAATCATGCTGTTGGAGAAGAGCACTGAATCCCACCGACTGTCAAAAGAACAAACAAGTCTGTCTTGGAGGAAAGGCAACCAAGGAGCTCCTTAGAGACAAGGATGGCGAAACTTTGTCTCACGTACTTTGGGCTTGTTCTTAGGAGGGATCAGTCCTTGGGAAAAGACGTCATGCTGGGAAAGGAAGAGTGTCAGAGCAAGAGAGGAAGACCCTCAACAAGATGGATTTACACACTGCCGGCAACAATGGGCGTATCAGAGATGGTGAAGATAGCACAGGACAGGGCACAGTTCAGATCTACTGTTTGTAGGGTTGCTACGAGGTGTAGTTGACTTGATGGTATCTAACAACAGCAGCAATGGTAGTAATAATATTAACCATTCAAGAGTATATTACCCACATTATATTCTTTGACACCTCAATACCTCACACCAAAGCATAAGGTATTCTATCACAAAACCACAGTCCTGGTTATAAAACCCAGAAATGATACTCTTGGCAACATTCCTTTATCTATTGTTCATATTCCAATTTTGTCAGTTGTCTCAATAATACCCTTTATAAGCATCTCTCCAACCTAGTCCAGGACTGGTTGAGGGTCAGGCATTACGTTTAGCTGCCTGGTTCTAAATTTCTGGAATCACCTCAGATGAATTAAAACACACAGTGGCGTGGAGGTGCAGGTGGGGTTGGAAGAAGACATTCAGCCTTACACGTATGTCTCATGAATGGATATTTTTGTAAATCCTCTAATGATTTCCTGTTCTCATATAAAGCATTGTGCTCAAGTATGTGTGGGTGGTTAAGTTAATTGGCTAAATGTGTCAGTGTTTGGAACTAAATTTCATGGTGTTTTTATTTTGGAATCTAATAGGAGTCTCATAACATGGAAGTGGTCTGAGCCAATGAGGGGAACTTAGTCTGGTTGGGTAGCTCTGGGCCAGAGGACGGGGCTCTGTTTTCTTAGAAATGCTGTGCAAGGTTGGTTCTTTATTATCCCTCTCTGAGCTTCAGTTCTCTCATTGTCATAGGTGTCCCTAAAGGCAGAGCCTTGAGACCAATGCAAGAGATGTGAGACTGTAGATTCCAAGTCCAGGAGGACCAAGGGTTCACTGGGCATCTTAACACTTTGGTTCTTCCCTCGATTTGATCTCCTAATAGTGAAAAGATTAATTATAAGGTCCTTCTGTGCATGAGGGCTTGGGTGAAGAGCGTGGCCTGGAATTTAGCATCTACTTCCTAAGTAGAGCAAACACTTATGCTCACTTGCTAGTCAAATGTTTGGAAGTTCAAGTCCACTCAGGGGCACTTTAAATGATAGATTTGGTAGTTTATTTCCTAAAAGCAACTACTGTAAAAACTGCAGAGCATGGTTCTACTTTCATATACAAATGGCTGTCATGAGTCACTAGTAACTCAATGTCAGTTGGGTTTTGTCTGAGGTCGAGGTCAGAGCTGATCATTTTACCTAGGTTTCTCCCTCAGCTCGTTTCCACCTGATCCTGGCTGGGTTAGCCTATCCCGAAAGCTGAAAATGTGCATGTTGGAGGTGAGTAGGCAAACGGCCCCAGAGGTACCTGGTCCATAGCTCTGTCTTTTCCAGTCATATATGTTGGGCTAACCTTGTAGCTCACAAGGTTTCATGGACATTAACTATTACCCCGATAGGAGGCTCAAGGAAGACAGCAAGTGGCAAAGTGTGTGGAATGGGGTCCTACACAGCTGTGAAAAAGCTAAAGACAGGTCCTTCTAACCTGAAAGGGCTCCAAAGTGTGTACCTCCTGCCACTGAGTTAATTCTGATGATTGAGTTGATTCTGATAGTAATTCTCTAGCAATTTTCTAATGCAAGTTTTATAACCGGAGGACTGCTTCTCTCTCTCTCAGCAGCTGGTGGATTTGAACTACTGTCCTATCAGTTAGCAGTGCAACGTTAATACTCATCACCAGAATTCCTTGACCCAGATATAAAGGGGGGGGAGAAAATTCAAGTGCAAAACAGAACACTTCTCTTTTTGTGGGGAAAACCAAGATATATGCAATCTGCTTGTATATTCCAAATAGCCCTGCAAGAATTCTTAACGCCCTGATAATGGTAAGTGACCCTGAGATCTGGACTTGAGGGATAATTCTGACTTACTTCCTTTTTTGTTCTTTGAGTTCCAAACTCCGTTAAAAGTATCCTGTCTCAAAAGAGAAAGAAAATCAGTATAAGGAGGTACAAAATAGAGCTCTGCTAACGCTGCATTTCTTCATCTGCACGCTGGGGAAGATCCATGAGCTGCAACTTCTAACATGGGCACTTTCTGAACGTATGCTATATATACTCTAATGAAAAGTTTAAAACAACGGCGCTGTAAACGACTTATGAAAGTAAGTGTATTTCGTATTTAACAAGAACTCTGCAGGACTTGTGGCTGTCTTTGGGATGGGTGGTATTTCTGCAAGGTCTGACTGCTTTACAATGTAAGCACAAATAGAGAAATCCATGATTATCTCTTTAAAAGTCTTAATCAGTAGAAAGCATTTCTGGAAGGGCACTCGGGCAGCTGCTAACACTGATTGCCTTTTTAGAAAGGGGCAGGAAGGAGTCCTTTCACTAGCCCTCCATTGCATGCCATTTGGTACTTGAATTATTTATCTGCATTAACTTCAATTATTTACCGGGTGCATCAGGTCTATTAAACTCTTATTTAGTTGAACAAGACAAATAATTATCATTCTGTCCCAGCAGGACTTGCTGGATTGAGAGCCAGAGCAACTTCTCAAGGGTCACCCAGCTAATCTGGTGGCAGAAGTGGGCCTCCAGCTCATAGCACCCAAGTGTCTGCTCTGCTCCCACTCCCGTGTTTCCTGCCATTGATAAGGACCAAAGTCCTTTTTCCTGTGCCTTTGCCAGGGCCAGCCTGTACCTGGACCAGGGTAGGCGCTGGGAGTGCAATGTGCTTTCCTAATTAGCTCTCTGAACGGCATCAGTGGCCAGCCTGGGACACAGGATAGGCAAGGCCGGTGTCCTGGAACACAACACAGGGGAAGTGAGGTGGAGGTCCCTTGGAATGCTGCTCCCTTGGGCGGGCCCCTGACCCCTTAGGGGCTCTCTTTCCTCTTCTCACACCAAAGGGGTTGAGCTGGGTGGCTTCCTCATCCACGCCAACCTGCAATGGCCTTTCAGGGAACTCATTCATTCCCCTGGGCCTGTTTGTGTGTGTGAGGAAGACTGGGTGGACCTTGTGCATCCCATCAGCATCTGACATGGTGCCTGGCAACCTGCTGACCTGTGAAATGGGTACCTCTACTCCAGGCTCCATCAGAGGGTCAAACATGATGAGATGGGTGAGCAGAGTGGACATGAGCACAGGCCACTAAACCCAAGTATTAAATACATCTTAAGTAGACACATGAATATACCCTGGTGAGCAGAGGGTACTTCTGTGCCCTTTCTTCCTGCCTTTTGAATTTCTCAGGTCTGGCCTCATAGGGAGAGAACACTGTCTGTGAAAGATCCTGGCTGAACACGTAAGATTGCAAACATGAGCCCCTCCACATCAGGGCTGCTTGGAGAATACTCAGGACTGGGACTAGGCACCTCTGAGGACAGCATGGCAGACTTGCTTTGGGCTCTGAAGATGAACAGGCTTCAGGTAAACCACTGTCCTGCCATGTGCCAGCCATATGTGCCTTTGGGTATCATTGTTCCTTCAGATCATCTCAGCCCAAACTGGGTAAGATTACCCTGAAATCTGAGCATAGCCAGCCAATGGTGCAGCTCACGTACAGAGCACAAGTGAGGTAGCCACAGGCTGCTAAAATCATCCCTTTGGCATAAACACATTTTGCACATGTGGAAAACTGCATGCAACAAAAAATTGTAATAGCAACAAAGTGGAAACAACCTGAATGCCCATTCTAGGGGATGGGCATGCACAGCACAGTAAAAAAAGTGAAATAAGCAGGAGTTACTAATGGGAGTTCTGTGACAAGGAGTTGTGCTGCCAACCCATAGGCACGCAGTTCAAATCCACCAGATGCTCTGTGGAAGAAGGATGGGCAATCTTCTCCTGTGCAATTAACAGCCTCTGGAAACCCACTGGAGGGTCAGCTATGAGCCAGTTCTGACTCGATGGTACACAACGATAACAGCAAATTAAAGGGACAAGGACACCCTTTACATACTGATTTGGGCCGAGTCAAGCTGGACTAAGGCAAGGAGCAGAAGTTATGCCCAATGCACCACCATTTGTGAGAAGAGCCTGTGTATTTTTCCATATTTGCTCGATTATGAAAAATAAATACAAAGATTCCTTTAGCAAACACATCAGGCGCCCAGCAGTTGTTCAAGAAACTGTGACGAGAGAGACATGGAGCAAAGTCTGACTGTCTCTACCTCTGGAGGGAAGAGTGGCCCCTTGCTCTCAGCACCCCTCACAGGTGCAGAACAGCAGTGCTGATGCTGTGTCCTCTCCTGTGCCCAGGAAATGGGCCACCTCTGATGCTAGAGCCCCCCAGGCCCCTCCCTTCCTCAGATGGGAATGTTTTTTATTTAAAAATATCTTTTATTTTAAACCCATCAACTCACTCTCACACTCTCTCTCACACACACAGAGTCACACACACAACTTTCACCACCGCCAGTCTTTTCCCCCCACACGTTCTGCCTTGTCTCTGATCAGCTGGGACTGGGCTCCACTGGGTGAGTCCTCCGAGCAGCTCTCCAGGGCTGGATCAGGGTGTCCCAGGGGCCTGCCTGTAGGGTTAACAGCCCAAGCCATGTCCTCTGATTCCTACTTAAAAAGAGAGGTGCGCTTGGCTCCTGGGGTCTTCTCCCCTGCCCAGCCAGTTCTGGCTTCTGGCCTCCTTCTCTGTGGGGTCTTGCTTGAAGCAAATGTTGCAGGGTCTCTGGCTCATCTCCGTGGCACTCGAAGTGGGGCCACACCCCTCACCTTCAAACAGCTGCCCCCCATGTCACGGCGGCCACTCTGCAGGAGGGGAGAAAGGTGTTAAGAAGTTTGATACAGGAAAACCCTGGAACTAAAACTCTTGTGTCCAGCACCAGGGACTTGATCAGTAAATCACCCTCCATGCATATAATCATATAATCAGGATTTTGGCAGTAGAGGGAACAGGCATTTGGACCGATAGGCGATGACCACCAAGATAACACTATAGAGGGACAGACGCAAGGTGCAGACCGAGTGAATGATCTGTTCAGAGACCTCTAGAGATGGGAACACAGGACACTGCTAATTGGCTTCCTCAGAGGAGGAGAATTCAATGAGCGAGGGGCCGGGTGGGAGGGAGGTATTGTCACTCTATTTTTACACCTTTTTAATTTCTTCTTCATGCAATTTCTTGACCACCCCCTCCTTTTAAAATCAATCTGTAACACCAACAACACACTTTAACCAATCACTTTAAAGGACAGGAATCCCCATTGGCTGACCATCACCCAGTGGGTTACTTATGGACCTTCAAAAATACACTCTAAGTTCCGGCCACCTTGTCGTCACCAGGCTGTTTGGACAGGAGTGTGTTCTCTATCCCCATCTCCCTGGAAGGGGCTCCACTCCTGCAGGTGGCTACAAGTGAGGGCATTCCACGGGGATACACTTGGAGGACAAAGTGGAGCCATCCTTCATTACGGTGTCAGGACAGAAGTCCTCCGGGACAGCCATGCTAGTCCAGCGCCTGGCACGCAGCAGGGGCCAATCTATGCTGCTTGAGTGAGTGGTGCCCACGGGAAGACGAGCTAACGTTGGTAGCCTCTGAAGCCCACAGCACGGCAGTCTCCACAAGTCTTCGTAGACACGTTCTGAAGTCTTCCACCTGGGTTTCATTTTCACTATGAATGAAAGAGGTCATATCCCTCCTTGAGAGAATTTGGGGCTCAGAACCACCCTGCAAACTGGTTGAGGAATTGGGCTGGGAATCCATGATGTCCACCAATCTGTCCTGTTTTGAGGACACAATGATGTCTCGATCCCACTGTTCAGACTCCCGCCTCCCTCGAGCCTGGTTTGGGAATGATGGAAGAGGCATCTTTCTCAGCCCATCGAGAGAGAGGCCGACCATCTGGGAGCTCTGCAGCCTGCCCTCTGCCCTCTTCACTCCCGGGCCCAGGTTGGGGCAGATCCATCCAGATGCGAGCCCAGCCTCCCTCGAGGCCCTCTCGCCCGGGGACAGCGTGTTCATTTGCAGGCAGGGCTATTTTGAGGGCTGAGGACATGGTCCCAGAAGAGCCTGGGGCTTGGGCTTCTCAGATGAATTCTGGCAGAAGGGGCTGAGTGAGGCGGATGGGGGTGGGGAGAGGGAGATGCACTGTGGAGGTGCGAGAACAGACGTGGTTGGTCCCTTGGTCCCTCAGAGACAGAGAGAGTCACCTCCACTCAAATCTGCGGGTCACATAGAGACCCAGGTGCCATGAGAACGCTGGGTCCTGAGCCTCAGTCTCGACATTTAGGGAATAGGGACAAAAAGATTTCATTTGTCACTCCAGGATGCTGTCAAATTAGAAAGGAGTTGTGAAAGTGGAGGAGGTGAAGAGCACTTAGGCAGTGGGCAGGTACCAGCTCCTTTGACCTTTAAGAACTCAGCACAATTCCTAGTGGTTAGGAATTGGGCCAATCTGGGCTTGAGTCCCTGCTCCGCCAGACTACCCATCCTCCCCCCGGAAGGTGACTACCCCTCACTGACCCTCAGCTCCCCCACTGTAAAGTGGGTTACCATGAAGGTAAGACAACTTAGAGTCCTCACAGCGCAGTTTCACAAACACAATCCGTGTTTAAAGAGTGTCCCCAAGTACTGTTATCAACAGCATCTGGTAATGACACCTCCTGATGATCCTAGCCAATCTCCACCTCCAGGAATAAAAGGAGAAACAAGACAGAGACAAGAATACTCCCCAAGCCCGCCGTTCCTTCTCCTGTTGGTGAGTTCTACCACAGGGTGCCATATCCAACCCCAGCTTAAACTGGAAGATGTTACAGGAAATGGTTTCTATGGCAACCCAACTCAAGACCAGCTAGAATGGGAGGTAGACGGCAACTCCTGGTGAGGTGACAGGGTCTAAGCACTTGGGGTTCTCTGGTCCCTAAAGCTTACAGCACTCAGGACTCCTTAAGATAACAAGTATTCCTCCAACTGAGCCTTCAAGAGGCCAGAGCTGGCCAGGGCTGATTGCCCCACTAGTCTACTCCCAGAGGAGACCAGGGTTGTTTGCAAGGTTTCTGTAGCCAAATTTGGATGAATTCTTAGTCTTACAGACAGGTCCAAGGGATGGAGGGAGGTGCACACACAGTCAGGCGCAAGCAAGACCCTGTGAGCTGTGGGACAGTCTGACAAGCCCCCTGGCCCCACTTCCAGCTGTGGGCAAGGGCATGTGGCGGACATTCCTTCTCCTCCAGGTCTTTCCACATCAACTTTTCCCACTTTCTACCAGGCAGACCTGAGTTCGAATCCTGCCTCCATCCCTGGCTGTCTGTGGACCAATGGCAAATACTCTATGCAGGTGGAGATAACCTCAGCAGCTCTTTGCTCAGTGCTGCGGGGTTTTAGGTAATAATGATGACCAACCCATGCGCAATGAGGTGGTGGGAGGGCAGAGACTGCTGTGGGTGTCCTCATGGGCCAGACTCTATCTCCCACTCTGTGCTCCTGTCACCTTCCACTTTCCCCCATTACCCTTCTCTAGGTCAGGCTCCCTGTCCTGGCTTTGGCTGTGCTCTGCTTCAAAACACCTTTCCCTACCCTCCTCCCTACCTCCACTCCTCAGCATCGTCTGGTCTCAACAGCCCCTTTGTGCCCCCTCCTCCCGATCCTCACTGGACTCAGTACAACACCCTAATCTTCGCCTCTTTAACGGAGCTCTGACACAGGATGATGAGTTCCTGACTGTGGGGAATGGGGCGTCCCCAGATGCACTCTCAAGTGTTCCAAATGAGTGGGTGAAGAGCAGTTGAGGTGTATCACCAAGGGCCCCAGGACTCCCCTCTCAGCTCAGCCTGGGTGCTGCGACCCAAAGCTGGGAGCGGCAGCACGCTGACAGGAGTCTGAACCTAAGATGATAGATTCATGGAAGCTGAGGCAGCCAAGGAGGTGAGTAACAGGCTGGGGAGCCTGAGAAGCTGGTAAGTGGTGTGAGGTCCAGATATGGTAGAGAAGGGACTCAGGTCCATGCCAAGGACAAAAAGACTGAGGAGCTGAAAGGTCTCCTGTCAACTCCCCAGACCTTTTGACTAGACTAGGTAGGTGCTAGAAGGCCTCTCTCAGCCTCACTTTCTGTAGCTGAAAAGGCAGTTCCACAGACAGGCTCTTCTCAGTAGGAAAAGTCCAGGTCAAAAAGGGGGAGAGACTGAGGATGATGAAGGCTCAAGGGGACTCAGCTTTTGGCTGACGTCACCCACTGCCAGCTGGGCTTCCACACTTACTTACCTAGGACACCTGGACACAGTTTAACCGAGCTCTGTCCAGTGATCCAACAATACACCCCAACATGCCATTCCCTTTGGTATCTGTCTATCCTCAGGGTACCCTTTCTACTATGCTCTAACTGGTGAGCTCAGGCTCTTCGTTGGAGGAAAGTATCCCCTTTTTTTCTCAGTTGCCTGCCTGTGGGCTAGATATCAGGGCGGTGTTGTGTACTGTCGGGTGGGAATTGACTCATACCTGACCCTCCAGTGGGTTTTCAGAGGCAGATAATTGCACAAGAGAGTTTTCCATCTTTCTCCCAAGCAGCAGTGGACTGATTCAAACCTCGTGCTTTTGGGTTGGCAGTGCAACTCTTTACCACTAAGCCACCAGAGATTCCTACCTCAGCAGAGATCAACTCAAGGTGAGGGTAGCTTGGGGCAGTTAGGTACAGGGCCAGACTAGAAACTGTGCCCAGTCTCCCAGCCGAGTACATGCAGGGTATGGTATTCCAATTTTGCCGCCTCAGTTGTGATGAAGTCAGGAGAAACACTACCTGCTTGATGGTGTTCTTGGGCAGGTAAAGAGGAGGACGAGGAGGGCCCAACTACAGCCCAATGAAGGACGGCTTTTGTTATTATTTTCTCTCCAGAAGGGGGATGTCCCGACACTGGACAGTGTCTCTCAATGAACATACGCTAAACTAGGCCAGTTCTCTGGGTTCCCCCCGCCCCACCGTCTCCGATTGGTGGACACTAAGCAAATGGATGTTTTACAAGATCGAGTCCCAGCCGCTGCATCTTCACTAACTCCACGACTCTGCCTGCTTATGTCCTTCAAGAAATTCTGTTCCCTGCCAATCCCCCAGCCTTGTGCCCGCGGCGCGGGGACCCTGCGCACTCACCCCCTTGCGCTGGTTGCTGAGGCAGAACGTGCAGATGGAGCGCGGCTGGCGGCTGCCGTCGGTGGCGGCGGCGACAGTGCTTTTGGCAGCACGGAAGCAGGGCTGTCCGTCGTCGGCCGCGTCGCCCAGCAGCAGCACGTTGGCCAGGTGCGCGATGTAGCTGGACGCCAGGCGCAGCGTCTCGATTTTGGACAGCTTGCGGTCCACCGGCTCCGTGGGGATGAGGGTGCGCAGCGCCGTGAAGGCGGTGTTCACGCTCTGCGTGCGGTCCCGCTCGCGCGCGTTGGCCGCCTGCCGCTGCCGCACCACCACCACCGGGCCCGCGCCGCCGCTTGCCCGCCGCCCACCCCCGGGGCCCGGGCCGCGCCGCGCCGCCTCCAGGCCCTCGCAGCAACCGAACGACTGATCAGACCCGTCGCTCTCGCTGCGGTTCTCCTCGTCTTCGCTCAGCAGCCTCACGTCAGGGTACAGCACGTGCGCGCCGACGGGGCGCAGCAGCGCGAACGCCATGAGCGCCAACCGCGTCCCTCCTGCGCCGCGCCCCTGAGTTCGCCGCGCCCCGCCGTGCGCTCCCGCGCGTTCCCACCGCCCGCGGCTTTATAGCCTGGGGGCGGGGCCAGAGCGGGACCGCCCCTACGGGGCGGGGACCACAGCTAGGACCAATCAAAAGGTGCTCACTGCTTCCAGGCCAATAGCGACGCACCGACGGCCCCAGGCTTCCAGGTTGAAAGCGGCCCCGGGAGCTGGTGGTCCACCGGGAAGGCTATCTTTTCCTGCAAAAACAGGCAAGTTCCCCCCGGGAATAGAGTGACTGGACCTTGCAGGAGAACTCCTGGTTCTCAGCCCATACCTCCTGGGAAGCCACAAGCAGGTTCCTTCACCTCTCTGGCCCTTAGTTTCCTTATTTGGAAAATGAGCTGCAGAGAAACCAAACCTGTTGTTCTCACCCTCATATTCTAATCCTGTGGTCCCACAACTTCCATGTACTTGAGAATTGAGGAAGAGGAGCTTTTGGCTTTACAGATGCTTGGATTTCCCCCTTCTGACTCAGCAAGCAGATCTGGAATGGAGCCCAGGAATCTGCATTTTGCGCAAGCAGGTGGTGATGGTGTCCATGGAGAGAACTTGGAGAAAAGCTGTATTCTTTCCTAATAAGGATTGCAGATGCTGCCTCCTTGTTGACAAACTTTAAAGAAAACAAAGCAAAACACCAGTAGCTCCCTTCATCCATTTATGCATTAACTAAACACTTGGGTTTGTTCCTTGTACGGGCCAGGCGTGGTTACAAGTCTGAGGATACAGACCTGAGCAAAACAAACTCTCGACCTTTGCTGGAGCCCATGTTTTGGTTGAAGCCCTCCTGTGTGTAGACCTGAGGACACTTCCTTGTGAAGCACTGAGAGCTGCTGCATTTTACCGAGAAGGCCCTTTTACTTTGGGCCTTACTAGAGGGGTCTGAGATTTACTGCAGTTCACATTTTCTAGGCCAGCAGAATAAAATGCAAATTTATTCCACTTCTCACAATCCCGTTATGATCTCCCTACCTCTGAACACCACCCCACCGAAAGCTCGAATCCCAAAACGTACACACACACACACTAATCTCTCGTGTGCACACACACAATTTCACATACATATACCTTCATATAGGGGACTCTGGTGGCGCTAGTGGCAAGAAGCTGCTCTGCAATCCCCAAGGCATGCAGTTCGAGGCTAGCAGCCGCTCCACAGGAGGATGGGTAATCTCCTCCCCTGGGATTAACTGCCTCTGAAAACCCACCAGAGGATCAGCTATGGGTCAGTTCCCAACAACAACATATCCTCATATACCACACACTCGTCCTCACCATCTTCTCTCAGTGCCCAGTTAACTATTCTGTTCTTAAATTGTTCAGCCTGATCCTCAGACCCCCTGGGAAGAGTCACAGGGCCGAGGATGGCTGCAGGTTCCCTAAAGTGCTCAGGTCCACTTCCTGGCTCTATTCTGGGAGTTGACCAAGCCAGCATCCACTTATCCTTGAAAAGAAAGTTCTTACTTAAATGGCAGTTTTCTGCTTAAATGGCAGCTGGGGTCCAGAGAAGTGGAGATAAAAGGCTTCTAGGTGCCTTTGCCTCTGCCTGCCTTGGGGGCCTGTTTTCTCCAAGATGCCTCCCAGCTCTGTGCTGTGCTTCCGGCTTCCCTGACCCAGACCAGAAAGGGCTGCCTGGGGGCGGGAGGTGACAGGGCCTGAGGAGTTTCCTCTGGCTGTTGGAAGAGTGGCCCCAGTGTCTGCTGCAAAGTCTGTTCCCACACCTGGCTTCCTCCCACCCCCCTCCCCATTTGACCATGACCTGGGCCAGGCTGGGCTTTGGGGAGGAGGAGAGAGAGGCTGAGTGGCCCCCTCCCTGCAGGACCAGCCCCACACGCAGCCCCAGGCCAGGCTGCTGCTTCCGGAGCTGATGAATTATTACCAGGAGGTTTCCTTCCCTGTCTGCGCCTCCTCACAGGGGCTCCTGGCTCCCTTCACTTTCGCTTTCTTCCCCTTTTCATCCCTCTTCTGCCCTGACCCCTCCAGGCTCCTTGAAATTCTTCTGTCCTACCCCTTCCCCATTCCTGCTTGACCTAGAGGTGCCAAATGGGGTGAGAACCAATCCTAGAAGGTGGGGCTTACTCTGTGGGCTCATTCATTCATTCCTTGGGTAGGTTTGGCTCATGGGACTCCTGAGTAAAATAAAACCATGAATGAGACGCCTTCTGCAGCCAGGGGAAGGCGAGCTGTAAACAAAGAATTCCTGGACAATGTGGTTGAAGCAAGTCAGGGTCTGGCATCAGACAGACCCGATTCTGGCCTCAGATTAGCTGCCTCTGGAGATCTCAGTTTCCTTCTCTGAAAACTGGGGAAAATAATAGTGATGACTCTGAGGGCTTATGCCAATAATACAGCCAGGGCCAGGCTCTCGGGAGGCATCTGTGCTGCAGTGTCAAGGACTGGCCCCCAGTTATGGAGCAGCCAGGTACCCAGGAAGTCGCTATAGTGATGCAGTGACTCCGTGACCTGTGACGGGGATGGACTCTGGTCGCATTCTCAGCCGCCTTCACAAAGGGGTCTCAGTTCCTCCCATTCCCCTTCCCTCACTCCATTCTAGCCACACTGGCTTCTTCACTCCCCCTCTATCGGGTTTCTGAGGCGGTAGTGGTCTAGTGGCAAGAAGCTGAGCTGCAAACCGAAAGGCACGTGGTTCGAATCCACCAGCTGTTCTACGGGAGAAGGATGGACAGTCTCTTCTGTGTGATTAACTGCCTCTGAGAACCTGCTGGAGGGTCAGCGCTGGGTCAGTTCTGAGTCAGTGGTACACAACAACAATGATGGCACCTAAGAACAACATGTTAGGGAGTCCTGATGGCATAGTCTGTAGGCAACCAGAGTCTAACCCAAACAACTCTCTTCTCTGGTGTCCGAATGCACCAGTGACCCTTTAATCATATGTGAGGGGGTGCTTCCCTGGGGTGTGCCTTAAAAAAACAAAATCTATCTGCCACTTCTCCATGGAAAGGTGATGCAGTTGGCTTCTTGTCTTGGAAACGCCATGGGCAGTTCTACTCAGTTGTAGAGGCCTGTTCTAAATTGTAATCAACTTGGCAGCAGTGCAGTTCTTGGGTTTTTTCAATCATAAGAATACTAACTGAGCAGCTACTATATGCAGGCACAGCTCTGGGCACTGAGAATACAGCAGTGAACAGGTCATACACATTTGCCTAACGTCTGTCTCCCTCCACAAGAATATAAGCTCCGCATGGAGCAGGGATTGTGCCTATATTTCCTTATCTCCCTAATATTCCCATTACAATTCTCTGAGCTAGACATGATTATTATTCCCATTTTACAGATAGGGAATTGAGGCTCTGAGAGGGGAAAGAAAATGACTTGCCTGAGAGCCCACAAGAGGCCAGTGATGTTCAGTCAGATTCCAGAGCCCTTGCTTCTTTCCCCTCTTGCCCTTGCTTGGGAGTCCCCTCGGGCAGCCCAGAAAGAAGCCTTGTGAGGGGCGAGTGGAAGGCTGTCAGGTCCAAGGAAAGGCGCTCTGGTGGCATAGGCAGTAGTGAGTTGTGCAGCTAATGCAAAGACTGCGTGTCTGTTGGTTTGAATCCACCAGAGGCTCTGCAGGAGAAAGGTGATAGTCTTCTTCGTCACTTACAGGCTTGGAAACAGATTCCATGGCAGTGAGAATGAATGAATGAGAGGGAAACAGACTCTTCCGGGTCCAAGGTTCCTGCCTCCCGATGCAGGGGCACCTGAGGCGTCGGTCCCCTCAGAGCACCTGCAGTTCCTCAGAGGCCCTTGGCTTTGCACATCTCAGAGTCTATGCCACAGCTGTTCCTGTCTGCTGTCTGTCATTCCAGACTGGACAGTTAAGCCTCCTTCTTCGCCAAGATCTAGTGCAGCTCTCCGATGAAGTGGTCTTACTACTCTCTCTCTGAGCACAAAGTTTTGTAGCATGGATGACAATACATCTTAAACCCCCTCCTCCCTGACTCCCTCTCCCATTCCCCTCCTTGTACAAGGCACCCACGCGAAAATGTTGATGCATGCCCTTGTCTACACACGTGTCTTTGTAAAATAGATGGTGCTGATTTGTGTGACCAAGTTATTAGCTTACACAAATGATTGTTTTTCTGGCTCTCCCGTTTCCTAGGTTTTGGTTCTTTTCCTTGAGGCTGCGCTCTGGGTGGTGGATCTAATGGAGCTTATGGCTTCTTGCTTTTGCTTCGTTTGCAAGGTATGCATTCATCTTTGCAAGGTGTGCGCCTCATCTTCCGTCCCCTTTGTGGCTCGCACTGTGGTTATCTCCAGCTCCTACTTCCCTAAGCAAAACTGCAGTGACCTTCCTGTGTGTGTCTCACGAGTGTTAGTCTCATGGCATGCGGTTTATTGGGATACACACTGCTATGGAGTAAACTGTATCCCCCAAATCGTGCTGTGACTTCTAGCCCCTAGGGCTGTGGTTCAAAGCCTGGGTGGTTCAGGGGTTAAAGCACTCAGCAGCTAACCAAAAGGTGATTGGTTCAGAACCTGTGTGAGCCACTCTGTGGAAGAAAGATGTAGCCGTCTGCTTCTGGGCAGATTTGCCTTTCTGACATTGAATGGGAGAGTTCTGTTTTGAACTTTGAATAGAGATTCACAGCCAATCGTGATTCACAGTCAACCTCCATGGGGTTTCTGAGGCTTGAGATCTTTACAGCCTGCTCATCCTTCTCCCACAGAGAGACTGGGGAGCTTGAACTGCTGAGCTTTTGGTTAGTTATGTAGCACATAAGGACTCTATCCTATAGCATCTCTATCAGTCAGGATAGATTCAAAGGGCATTAAGTTTTTTACTTGGGATGTCTATAGTTCTAATCTCATTTAGGAATGGTTTGTTCGTTATGCTAACGAGGCATGATTAGTGGTGGTGTTATGTGCCATCAAGTCATCTGTGACTCACAGAGACCATAATGAACAGTAGCTCTCAATCCTGCTTTCTATCCAGAGCCAATCTCACTATGTCTGACACACCTGACCCCATTACCCCAGTTACTCTGTCAATCCATCTCAT